CGCCGCCGCTGCTAGTGGACTAGATGCGACCCCATTGAGCCACGGCGACAGAGTCACGACGGAGTACTTTTCGCACGTCGTCACTCGTGAAGGGCCGGGATGAACCACTTACGACGGATGTGGGAGTAATCTACTTCGCATGTACGTACTCCGGAGGCACAGAGAAGATCGCCCAGCTGCGCCGCCGGCCGGCGCCCCTCCTCTCGGACCAAAGGTACGTGGGACTTTACTCCTTCCAGCAGGTGCAGACAGCATGCCGCAGTCGCGGTGGCGATACCTAACCTTGTCTACGGGCTGGGCAGTGTAGGATCTGGGAGGATGGACGCCGGAGGATGATGTGTAGAACTAGACGGAGAACGGAGGGCAACAGACTACCGTGCCTAGTCGGTTCGTTCCGCTGCTGGAGTACGAGCAGTAGGCAGTAACTTTTTTCTTTTTATGTTATTGCTTCTTCTTCTTTTTTTTTAAAAAAAAAATGTTTGGAGTGAAATTTCTGATTCATTCAAATGAAGCCACATGTACGTACGCTGTAGAGTACTCCGGAGACATCTAGGCTAAAAGAAGAAAAAAAATAGCCGAAAATCTGCCACCCGTCTGGTTCTATTCCGATAGGATGAATTAGCGCCGGACCGTCTGAGACATGGCCGGATGATGGTTTGCTACGGAGTACACAGTACACACTTATGGCCAGCTGAGGATTACAGTCCACGGTGCTGGACAAGGTATACCTACAGGAGGTAGCCTATACGCAGGATATGATAAGTAGTATTACCGTTAGCAACCCCTGCGCAGGACGAAAACCATCAAACCAACTCGAGAAGATGGGCCGAGAGAAAAAGAGGGGGGAGGATCCCAGATCCCTGCAAGGTGTCGGTAGGCCCAGGACGGACCAGTAGTCAATTAATGAATTAATGAATGAATTAATTAAGCAATCAAAATGGGCGATGTCAAGAGGACGAGAGGTGAGACCCGGGTTCACGGAGGATCTCTCTTAATCTCGAAATCCCGGGCCAGGTCAGTTCTCGGCCTAAACTAGGAGAAACAAGAACCCTGGGATTCCCGGATGATATCTAGGTACCGATGTCGATCACCGAGCAGGATGGCAATTACGCCGTGACACCTGACAGGCTGGAAGGGCTCAATTTTTGGGCGAGATAAAGACGAGCAGAGCAGGACGGAGTCGGACCCAACGGTCGGAAAAGAAATCCAAATCCCGAGGGTTCCTCGGTACTCGTAAAGATGGTATCACTGACTGAGTATACACTATACACATACACAGGACGCAGTCTGTGTCCGCGAGGGCTGGAATTGGATCATGGATACATCCGCCATTCGAGTCCATAATCCATATGGAGTCGCGGCGCATAGGATGAACAAGAGAAGTGGGGAGGTTATGCAACGCAGAGGCCGTCACTTCCAATCAGGTCGACGGGGGAGGCAGACTGGCGCAGCTGGAACGAACTCACCCGACAAAGTCGCCCATTTCCGGCGGCCGTCATTGGACTCGCGGCGCAGAGAACTGGGCCTTACGTGCAGAAGGGAGGGGGCATCCACCGGCCGAATCGCAATGACCGTGCATTTCTTCATCCTCGGCTATCCGCGCCGGACGCAGTGGGCGACAAGACGTATCAGAATCAGAATCCGAATCCGATCATAACATCATCGCATCATGCGACCGGTGATGGGTCGTATATTAAACATCGACCAGCGGACTAGGCCAGAAACCTAACCAGATAGAGGGGAGGCAGGCCAATAGTTCGAAATCGCGGGCGGATCAGGAGGCGGCGACGGACGAGTAACGAGAGGCGGCGCGAGACAGGAGGAAAGCATGCATCTAGGGATTTGAGGAAAAGTTAATCGAGGGCCGGATAGTTCGTTCAAGGGCCTGCCGTTGGAACTAACGATCCTAACCGAGTTCCAGTTTGAGTTTGTCGGATCCGGGCTGCTCCATTCTATCGTCATTTCTTGTAACATTCATGATGAATGGAGGATGGACGGGGATGAACTGGATCCAGGCAGATGTCGGCAGGAAGGCCGACTTCCAGAGGATGAGCATATGATCGACCTACTCAACTCGTGTAGTATTTTCGGAATATTCGACTATTCGCATATAATAATATAATCATATTAACGCAATCACAGGATGCTCCAACCGGAAAGAAGTGGATCTCCCAAGCCACGTTGGCGCCGATCGCAGTGCCTACGCGGCCACCGCCTGCCCGTGAGGATTCGCCATTGCCGCCGCCTCAAATGCCGGACGGAGTCTGCATTGACCGAGTAGGAGTATTCTAGTATAGTATTCAATAATGTCTGTAGCAAGAATGTCAAGGTCATACAGACAGTCAGACACATGGCCAGGTCCAACCCTCTTGGTCATACCCTGGGATCCTGCCGCAGCAACACACTACCACCCACTAGACACTCAACCCCCAATCTTACGCAATGGATATATTAAACCAAGACACCAATTTACCCGCAGCCAACGGAGCCTTGACGGCCAAAATCTACAAAAGCACGACACTAACCCGTCTGCGCAGAGGGGGACAAACATTGAGAGAAATTATTTGATTTGATTTTTCAGGTTAGCTTGTCTGCTTTCATGGTATCTTCCCTGCCATCTTGCCATGCTACGGTCGCCTCCCCTGGCCTAGGGCCAATATAATCCAGGCGGCACTATATCCAGTTCGCATCGTGCCAAGCAGCCCGTTGGCCCTCCGTCGTCTGTGCGACTGCTCGTAGCCTCCCTCCCGGTCCGAAAGCTCTGATTATGTATCTCGACGCCGTAGATTAATTGGCTTCGGCCCATCACTCCGGCGTTAGTTGGTGAATCGGGGCGAGCCGCCTCGCCACCTGTGTGTCTAGAGCATCCCGGTACTCTTCCGGCCTCCAGACCGGGGGGGTTTAAAAAAAAAGAAATCGATAGGAGGTCGGGCCTTTTTTTCGGTAAATAAGACTGCATCTGATTAAGTGCCAGACGGGTAGACGGAAGATCTGGCCTGTCGTTCCGGATTGCGAGTCGTATTTCCTGGTTGCTGTTGGTTTGTATACTAACGGAGTACGGAGCATATTCCTTCCACTGACGGTGCGTGGTATACTCTCCTCACCGGTGGTGGATTCGAACATGGATGCCTTGTCTGTAGTAGAGTGGTCGATGTATGGACCTCGGATGGTAATTGCATTCTGTCATGTGTCAAACTGTTTGACCTCGAGCGAGAAAAAAAAAAAAAAAAAAAAAAAAAAAAAAAAAAAAAAAAAAAAGCCTTGACACATGATACTATTACCGTCCCAAAAAAAAGCTTCGTGCCTTTTTCGAGGATGAAGCTCTTAGCTATCCCAAGTTAAATTAATTTACAGACAGATATACTATTATCTGACTCTACCCACCACACAGTCGACAGATGGCATAATACGACTCGGCACAGCAAATGCCGAGGTCTAAATTTGTCATATACCCTGTCGACCTAGGATATAGGCACCTTGGATATCTACAAGGGCTGGTGAAGCTAAACCCTGAGATTTGAAGTAGCGCAAGTCATCTGTTGGTCGTGGCGCTTGGACTCTGGCGGAGATTTTTGCCAATCAATCAAGAACACCAATGGGGGTTGATCTCGAACTAACACCGTTGATCTAGATTGCCTGAGATGTAGGTCTCGGCCGTGTCGGGCGGTATACATGCTGACATTCATTGCGGTTGAATTTGAGCGACAATATTGCTGTGTACACCTTGAACGCATAAGGCTTTGCTATTCGTCATGCAGAGAACTTATACTCTTGTGTAGGAAGTGTCCTTGTCAAGGGCACGGTTCACGTGTTCATCTCATAACCGCTTCTATATTTTGATTACTTCCATGCCATATCACCAGAACTTTATGGAGAATTTAGCCCATGATTTCTTTCAATCGACATAGCAAAACACCGAGAATTCAGTCAGACTTTGATTCATCTAGGAATTAGTAAATCTATTTCCCTCGGCTACGTAATAGTAATGTTATACATAATGGCCTCTGAAGAAGTACAGCAAACACCTACCAAAGCAGAAGACCAGAACAGAACAGACCCTAGACCAAGACCTCCCGACCCAACCATAAATACCTTGTATATTTCCATATCGGTCTCAAGATGATAGATGCATATTAAACATTAATCGTCTAACTTTCTATCTTTGCTAGAAATCTCGAATAGTTGCCTCATTCGACATGTCTGCGAGAAGCGCTATTATGGTATATTGCAAGTGAGCTGAGAGCGTTGTGTAGGCGACCCTTTAGGCAGTAACTCCAAGCACTCCCATCTACTCTATAACCCGTCGGTCGATCGATCCCCTTGGTCTCCTCAACGAGTATTTACCAATTATAGTGTTGTGAGAAAGGAATATTTCTATCAACTAGAGACGATTATTCCAATTTTCAGAACCAAATCAACCTATCCTTTGGAGTACTATGAGTTAGAAGATGTACCGTCCACTGTAGCGTGGTCCTGCAAACTGCTTTTGATGAATCTATCAATTGATGAGGAAGTCGACTTCAATTGGCCTTTTCCAACCAACTAATGTTCAGTCAGTACATGAAGCTATATAGGTGCATCGTGGTTGAACAAGAACCGTGAGGCCTTGAAACCATACACTCATACTCATATAAAAAGAGAATGGGCTACAATAGTAAACAAGGGAAAACGTACGTTTAGCGAATGGCCTGACTTGGAATGGAGAGAGGGGAGACATGACCATGGTGCGGACATTGGATGCTTTGATATTATGGTAGGGAAAGAAGACCACAAAGTATAAAGAGAATTCGAATAATATATGCAGTGAACTTGCCAGCAATGTCAAAATAGAACATGATATAAGTTCAGTGTTACACTTAACCAAATCCAAGGACGAGGAACATCGGCGATGAGACGGTGACAGATACCCGGTCGACGAGGTGTAAGCCTACGAGACACTACAGCAATTAAACGAACAAGGCAGAGCCATCTACGTAATAAAACCAACATTGTTACAGAATGTCGTTATTATTATCGTTCCGGGGTATTGCAAATCCTTAATTCATTTGCTTGTTTTTGGCTACCTTTTAACCGAAGTGAAAAAACTCATATCAAACACAAATCCGATTCACGTCAAGAATCCCTAATTTACTCCTCGCGGAGAACGTTAAGGAAACCCTTGGAGGCGCTCTCGGGCTTGCCAGCGGACTCAACGGACTTCTGGCCGAGCTTCTCCTTCGAGAAAGCAGCGGCGTAGGGGTTGAGACGGAGCATGACCTGCTTGTTGCGGAGAGGGTTCTTCTTCTGGACGTGGGCACGCTTGGTGCGGGCCTCACCCTTAGGAGCACGCAGAACGGACTGGATTTCAGAGGAGTTGATCAGGCGAGACAGATCAGCGTTGGAGACAACGTTCTGGGGCAGGAGGTAGTCCTTCTTGAGGGCGGCAGGGGTGGAGGTGGTGCCGTAGACCTGGTCCAGGGACTGGAAGGCGGAGGAGGTCCAGACGATGAAGCGACCAAGGTGACCACCAGGGGCAAGCTGGAGGAGGTTCAGGTTGAAGACGGAAGAGGTCTCAACACCGGGGATGTTGCGGAAAGCACGGACGAGCTCCTTGCCGTCAACCTCGGGGTTGTAGACGACGAGGGGACCGCGGCGCTGGCGGTGGCGACGGTTCCTCAGCTTACCCTTACCAGCGCGGACCTTCTTGGACTTCTGGACCTTGACGAGCTCGGCGCCGGCACCAAGAGCCTGGAGGAGAGAGACAGCGGCCTTGGTCTTGGCAATGGCAGCACCCTCGAAGGTCTTGGAGTCAACAACCAGAGGGACCTCGGGGATGTTGGCAACGCGGTGACCACGAGCGAAGAGGAGGGCAGGGACGGAAGAAGCAGCCAGAGCGGAGGCGGTAGCGAAACGTCTATGCGAGCACAAGTTAGTCCTCTTGATTCCCCATATCGAATCTCATCGCAGCGAATCCCGTTATTTCATACCTCTGACCAACGTTCACCTTCTGGTGCCACTTGCGCCAGACCTTGGTAGGAGCGAACATACGACCGGAACGGCACTGGTTACCGAAAGCAGCCTGACCAGCACGGTGAGTACCACCACCGGAGACACGGGGGATACGAGCGACAGCGCGACCTGCAGAAAAAATCGATCATTAGCAACTCAATTCATCGCATGCAAATTGAAGAATTTTTCGATATCCACATACCGGTACCCCAGGACTCAGCGGAGGTCTGTTCACCAGCCTTCTCGCTCACGGCATAAGGCTGTCTCTTGTTCTTCGCCATACCGGTGTGAACCTGCCTGTAATGAGGAAAACCCCGTCAGCCATCTGTCGCTTTTGTTCTGCCATTGCTGCGTTTCCCGGCCCTTCTCCTTCGAGTCCCGAGCGAGTAGAAAAATCATCGAAAAACATACTGGACGATATCAGGACGGATGGGCGAGGTGAAAACAGCAGGCAGGGGGTAGGTGGCCCCGCTGGCCTTGCCATCAGCCGTGGCGATAGTGACGGTAGGACGAGACGCCATTGTTGTCGACGGTGAGGTGGTCGTTGTCGTCGTTCGAGGTTGAAGATCGAGTAACTCACGATGGGCTGTGGAAATTTTCGCTTAGTCTGCCGCGAGTGGTGGGCCCGCCCAACGGCAAACCCTAAGCCCTCGTTGCCGTTTTGGGTCGGCCTCGCTGGCAAGGGTCTTGGCGGTAAACTGACACCTCAGGTTGCTAGCACTCCATTCCTTCGAAGGCGGTGTGGAGGACTTCTTGGAATCCCAATTTCATAGTACGAGGTTATCTTGATCTACTTTGTAGTCTTTGCATACTCCGTACCCCGCATCAAATATCACTTTTGTATTCTATCTATCTATCCATTCCATCAATGCACAATACATCCATTTGCCGACTCAATCTGTCATGCCGCAACAGTTGACAGGTCACGTTGACTGCCACCTGAAGCCATCCAACGTCATCAAAACCTACAATGTCTGACATGTTAAGGATCAACACAGAATCCTTCGTTCTAACAAATCGATAAGTGATGATGATCGGCAACATCGGAGTTATCTACTCCATCTATACTATCTACTTATCTGACAAGAAATACTACAGTTTACCAGGAACAATGCGTCGAGCGGATAATTGATCAAATAATCTATTGAAAAAGGTATAAAAAATTGAAAATCGAAACGATCTTTACAATAAAGAAAATCACTTCTTTTCTCATCTCTCTTTAAGTGTACATGTTGAGAAAAGAAAAAAGAAACGACAAACCAAATCGGGTTCCTCACAAGTAGTCAGACCACCAGTGACAGGAAAAGAAAGAAAAACAAGAAAAATCAACAAACGCGCAAAGCGAGTGAGCTCCTCACCCCGCTCAGCGGGAAATGAGAAGGGTCATTTACGCGTGGCGGTGAGCACCGTGAGCGCGCTTGCGGTGGCGCATCTCAGAGAGCATGCGAGGCTTGAGAGCAGCGACGGCGAGCTCGGCAGCCTGGCCAGGAGTGCACTGAGTGCCACCGGCCATGGGCTGAGCGGGGGTCCACTGGCCGTTGGCGCAGCGCTGGAAGTTGGAGCCGTCAATGCAGTTCCACTGGCCCTCGGAGGTGCAGGCACCGGACTGAGCACCGGAGGCGCCAGTGCTGTCACCACCGGCAGCGGGCTGGGTGGGAGCAGGGTCGGCGGCGGGCTGGGTGGTAGGAGCGAAGACACCACCGTCGGCGGGAGCGGACGGAGCAGGAGCCGGGGCAGTGGTGGGAGCGGGAGCGGGCGCGGATCCCTCGTCGCCAGATCCCTCATCGCTGGAGCCGCCGGAGGAGCCACCGGAGGCGGGGGTGTTGCCAGAGCCTCCGAAGGAGGGGGTACCGGTACAGGCCTCGCTGCCCTCGGCGGCCAGGTTGGCCTCGTCACCAGCATACTCGACCTCCTCACCAGGGTTGGGGAAGCGGATGTCCTTGCCCTCGGGGGTGGTGCAGCCGTTGACGTTGGCGACGAACAGGTCGGGGAAGCTGGCGTCGCGCTTGACGGGCGAGCGCTTGGCGGAGGAGCCGCCCTTGACGGTGACGGGCGCGCAGTTCATGTACATCTCGCGGTTACCGATACGGTTGAACCAGGTCCAGGCAAGAGTATACTTGCCGGGCTCGATGCCATCGGGAATGGTGTACTTGAATTCGGTGGAACCGCTGCCGTCGGGGTTCTCGGGAAGGTTGCCTTCGGCGTTGACGGGGCAGCCACCCTCAATGGACTTGATGACCATCCACTTGGAGTCCTTGGTGGGCTCGAGGTCCTTGGTCAGGGAGACCTGGCAAGAACCACCACCGTGGGTGGCACTGCCAGTGAACTTCAGAGGGTTGGCCTCGCCAATGTTGAGAATGTTCTCGGAGCTGGCGGCGGCGTAGACGCCGTCACGCTGCTTGCAGGGGAAGTCGCTGCCGTCCGCCTCGAGAGGGGAGTTGTTGAGAGAGTCAGCGCCGTAGGGAGCGGGCGTGTTCATCAACATGTGACCCTGGACGGCGGTGGCACCCAGAAGGGCGGAAACGAAACCGGTCTTGGAGAACATTTTGTCGAAGGTTGACTGTTAAACTGAAACCGTTCTTGATTCGAAGAATGTGGTTGTGAGTTTGGCGAAATTCTGATCGTACCGGACGAACTCAGAACTTGGAAGACGTTGAAAAGCTGAGAGTATCGAAAACTTTTGTGTCAAAGAGTCAGCAAGATATTCGTATGAAGAGTATTCGTGCGGAGATGATGATGTGAGTTGGAAATGGAGAACGAGAGAAAGAGCCAAGACGTCTGCATATTTATAGATTGCAGGACAGCAGATTCCAGGCTCTTCAACAATGGGAATAGAGTGCGGGATCCGGGGAACTCAACAATGGTGAAAGAACCGGGGACAATGAAGTCCGGAGATTATAGGCAGTATGGATTCACACAAAGAAAGAGGCGGAACAAACCCTTTGATAGACTCAGAGAAGGAATGACGTAGTCTGCCACAGGCGAAACCACAAAAACAGTATTCACAAATGAAGGAATGAAGAACGAAACAGGAACCTGGCCTGTTTGACAGTCGAAACCGTTGCGAGAGTAAAGGATTGAAGCGCGCTGCGTGATTGGGATGGAGAGAAGAAAAAAAGAGAGCAGACCAGCCGACGGCGAGGGGTGTTATATAGTTTGAACTCAATGAGCCCGGCACTATATCAGATCCAATGCGATTGCCGATTGAAGGGGAAAAGGGAGGGTAGCGAGTGGGGGTGGAAAAAAAAGCAGTGAATCAGTCAATCATCAGGCATAACGGGGACCCTGGAAAGTGGGCAAGCGACAAGCTGATGGATGGGGGCTCAATTGGATGCATTTGGGCGGACATGAAACAGCCCCATCGGCGGTGGAGACTCGAGAATTTGGGAATGAGCATCGAGGATTGGATTGAGGCGACTGACGATGAACAGAGTTTACGGAGGCAGTACAACGGTGGTGAAGGCCAGCGCTTGAGTGGCTGCAGGGCGCAGCCAGTGAAGATCGGTCGACGAACGGAGAAAACCGTCCGCTGCTGCGGGTACCTGACCAGGGGGGCGCCACAGGGATTGATTCCATGTCGTATCTTACCAACAGTCGCAGTCAGACATGCGCCTCGATCGACGCAGTTTCACCTTCACCTTTCCGGTCGAACATTCACAGACACAAAAAAAAAGAAAAAGAAAAAGAAAAAACAAAGCAAGGTGCCCAGCCATCGTCGTTTACTAGAATCCCCTCCTTCTTGCCCCTAGAGTCGGGGGGGCCTTAAAGTTGCGCTCGATGGTGTCACACCATCCGCCCAAGCGCCTGGTTCGGGAGGGGCACTCTGGCAGCTGATTGGCCTCGGTCGCGGGCAATTGGCGCTGGGACGGCTCCTCTCGGCGGATCTGCAGCCAATCACCACGCTTAAGGCCGAGGAAATGCAAGCCGCCGTATTTTTGGTATTCACCGTACGGAACCCCGTCTCTTCACCTGGGGATTCTACCTGGTAGTACTCCATAGGTAGAGTTACATCGCCCTGCCGCTGCACTCGATCTCATCACCCTCAATCTAATTCCTTCCACACTGTTACCTAACAAATTAATCCCTTGGGGAAATGGACGCTTCACGACTTCCCGCCTGGAACCTGGGAGTACCGGCCACTGACGACCTTCCAAGCGGACTGACCGCAAGAATGGGGAATCATCGTGTGCGATCAACCTAACTAGCACCTACATGTCCCACTTCCCAGCGAAGAATGGATCTTTCCATCCGCCGGGCGTCCAGGTGTCATAGTCTCGTCCCGTCGCCCACTTGCCAGGGCCTGGACGGCGAGATGTGAATGGACAAACCCGCCCCAGCCTAGGAAAAGATCCTTCGCTCTGCATCGTCATCCTCATGCGACATGACCCCCAAAGCTTAGATGAGAAAAAAAGAAAAGAGAAGAATTTTTTGTATCGAGTAATAATCATCCAAGACTTGTCTACACCGGAGCTGACCGCTCGGCCCGTGGGGCGAATTCCATAAACCCTGCCTGACGACGAGCGAGACAAGGGAAAGGCAACGGACTGAACTGACACTGACAGCCATCGGTTGATGAAACCGGTTAATCTCGCTTCCCTGAGGATGGATTGCTCGGGAGACTCCCATTACTACCAGGAAGGCACCCGAGCCTGCCATCGACTCTGATGAATCCAATTTCCAGACGAGATTACGGAGGTCTGCGACAAGTTCCAGGACATTCCCGTCAGGTAATGGAAAAAGAGTTTTCATTTTCATTTTTCTTTTTCGCTGTGTGCGTTGACTCGTATACTCTGGAGAGTTGAGGGGACGCGATGGATCCCGTTTATGCACGATTACTCAATTATGGATTACCTCTCAGCTTTGGCCCGGCATGGGCTGTGTTGGCCGTGAAATTCTCCGGGCTGAATGGCCACCGCGTTAGCGCCTCTGGCCGGTGGTGTGGCGACTGGGCGGTTTGCAGGAACATCGCCGGTGCAAGACATGTTGCGTTTCCCGGGCTAAAACGCCTTGATGCTCTTAAAATATCGTTCGCCCCAAACCCCGGCGGATAATAATAGCCATGAATATATTACTACGCAGCACTATCGAGGGGGCAGTCCGATGAGGTTGGGAAGCAAGGGCTCCTCGACCTATGACATTTCGTGTTTGAGCGAATCTCGACGACTTGGCCAACACAAGGATTCCCCAAGCGGACGATCTCTGCACCTCCTGCGTCCCCGAGTGCAGATATCAAAAAAGGACGAGCAAAAATACCGTCGAGCCATGGTTCCGACCTCCGCATCTGACCCATCCGACCGCGAAGTTCGGATCCTCCCATCATCTGGCCGGCGCGGTGGAGGCGCAAAGTTTGGATCGTTAATCTCGTTGACATTACGTCGACGGGCGCGTCCCAAGTAAACTGACCGCATGTCCTGCGTTATCCACATGCCATATCGCTTAGAACTTTTGGAGAGAGGAACCGGAGGGTTCGAGATCTGGATGGATTTGTGTTTCAGATAGATTCATTCTGCCCCGCGCTGCTCAATGATTTGCCGACTACCGCAGGGCCCCGGGCCAATCAGGGGCGGGAAATGCCATGCTTTTTGTGACGGCGGCTTTTCTTCCTTGTTTTCCGCGAACTCTGAAGGCGAATCGCGAATTACGGACTGCGCAATCAGAATCGACGAGGGGGAGGCCTTTTCCGTGATCTGCGCTTTATCTCCAAAGGGAACCTTCTCCGTGCCAGGGAATCGGACCACGTCCCCGGGACCTCTGATTTGATCATTTTCTTTTTCTTTCTTTTCTTTTTTCTTTTTCCTCTTGATGATGATTCTGGTCCCTGGACCTCTCGACAGAGTTTGGTACCTTACAGAGTACCTGCTTCCGGGAAATCCTCTGCCCAGCCAGCCAGCGAGCTGGCATGCCAATTGCCAACACACACAGGACCGATCCATGTCTCGTAAGAAAGCAAACGCACTCTGTACAGTAGCCTGGATAGCCTGTAACCCATAGCCCGGACCTCCACCCTCGGGAAATCAGTCAACGTGGGCGTTTATCTCCGGAGCCACGAACCAACGGGCTTGGCCCTTCTAGCCGCTCAGTCTCGCCCACTTCCAACTGTCGCGCATGGGGCCCTTTCCGGCGTCACCAGTCACCACTGTACCACATGGGCCGTCACCGACCTGCCATGGAATGCGGCATGCACCAGGGCTAGGATCAGATCAGGATCATGATCATCGTCCCCCCTCTCCCCGCCCAGGCCCGGCGGCTAACGGGAACACAAGCACCTACCTACCCTACTTGTCCAAGTGTACCTCCGGACTACCGTGAGCTACAAGCTCTGAGTGGCCGTTCTACATATCCTCGATGCGGTAACTGATAGACAAAGAGCGGGGTGGGATGATGGATTATGGATCTCAATCACATCGATCACACAACGTAGCGCTTGGCCCTGTCCCTCCCTGCTCCATGTATCCGAATCTGCACCCCGACGGACATTTTCGCTTTCACTGTCCCCTGCACTTCATGGCTAGTACATACATCCACCCCCAGCCCAAAAAGACTAAGTGGGAAGAAATCGTACGAGCTCTGTCGCACAGCACAGCCTCGCACAACAGCTCGCATTCATGCGCGGGCCGAAACAGCGTCAGCTTACCTTCCTACTACTAGCAGTACTAGCAGTAGTAGCCACTCCGTATCTCCTCCCAGGTGATCTAGTTCATCGATTCTGGCCTAGCCCGAGAGCTAGGGACTTAGTCCCCTAGGGACAAGACACTAGAAACGATCTGGATAGGGCTAGAAAAACCAATACGCTGTACCAGCAGATACAGAGGATGGGACTAGTGCCCAACGAAGCCTAGCTGACACCTGAGACTTGACACCTGCCTCTAGAGTTCGGGCAATAGATCTGAAACGCAGGGTTTGGGGTGTCTTGTCGCATCTCGTCTTGTCTCGTTTGGTTTCGTTTCGTTTCGTCTCCACGTCAGGTGATCCAGGCCCTAGCAGATGGCACAGTCCATGTGAAAAAAACAACAAAGAGTCCGAGCCAGAACGACCAGGAAGTCGAAACCAACAAAGAAAATGGCCCTGCATAGCCTGCAGAATCCCCTGCAGATACTGACAGTCAATGCTACCTCGGGCTTTTTCACCCTACCGACCCTGGTAATCTTCGGGGTAGGCTCTGCGGGCCACCTAGCTCCTGCTCCCAAAATACTACTCCTGCTACCGCTATACTGCGTACAGCGTACTACCTCGCACTAGGGACTCCTTCCTGCAAGTCCTACCGTGGTAATCCGCTAGAATGTTGGTTTTTGGTTACTTTCTTTCCGGGGTACGCCTGGTGCGCCAAGCTGGTTCCTGAAAATCATCTTGTCCGAGAACTCCCCCTTTTTTTATTTTTCTTTTCTCCCGGTCAGCAGTCAGCACTTGCTTTCTTGCTTGCTTGTTGTTGTGGGGCATGTAAGCTAGTTCCCAGGAACAGGTTGGATTGGAAATTTGAGCTTCTAGATGATTCTGAAGCGATTGGGGATGGGGACGGGCAGATTGCATACCTCGTATTTTGATTTGGTTATCCATATTTCATATGGTCTATAGAGCATGCAGAGTGGAGACCTGGAGAAGTCTATGCTATTACTTAATATGCAGAACCAAGGTACTACCTGCTACTCCCGATGTGCCAGCAAAGGGCCCATCTATCGACTGACCGTGCGACATCTTTGGCAAAAGCCAAGGCCTTACCCATCAAATCTTGTAGATCTTAATTCACTCGATGTCACTTCTCTGCGTTGGCATCGATTCTAGATCCGTGCCTGACCGAGTTCGATGCTATGATTCTACACCCCATGCCAGACACCTTTGTCTGCCTGCCTGGTCAAAATGCAACATTCCATCGTCGATGGATACTATCCACTGCCACTCGGCGGCCCCCGTATTCAACCCCTTTTTCATTCTGCGTGAAAGGACGAGTTGAACCGGCGGGTTGTTGGGGGCCGACCACTCTAACTCGCAGTGTAGTATTCCGCCAAGACAACCAGGTGCTGGGTCCAAGTCCAGCAGCCTTGCGAAGTCGAAGCTACTATTCATTCGAGGTTGACTGAACCGGGCACTCCGTGGAGGATTGGTTTTTGCATAGCCCAGAGGGCCAGAGGGGCGAAAGAGAAAGGGGGAAAGAAAGAGGATCTTCGTGATTCCGTTCTGCTCAAACTGGCATGGAATGAACGAGCAGACCAGAATAGAGGCGAAAATCCCCAATATCCACATCTGAGCGAAGAAATTGTAACCATAATTTTTTTTTCTTTCTTTTCCAAATCATTTCTTCCCTTTCTTCTTCCCCTTGTCACCACTGCCGCCTCCTCCGCCGGACTCCTTGACAAAGCCTCCTTTGATCAGACCATCTCGGCCGACGGCGTTGATGATGCGAAATCGATCCGGCCCCAGGTGGATTCCACCGTACCATCTCGTAACCACGACGACCACATCCCACACATCCATCAACTGCATGAGGTGAAGCAGACGGCCGCCGGCCGCCGTCTCGCCGTCGTCGTCGCAGTCCTGCACGATCATCTCCGTGGATTCGCCCTTCCCTCCGCCGGCAACAGGCTTCTGCTGCCGGATCCGCCACGCACTGATATTGTGCGTGGCCGCCGCCACCTTCTTCTCCGTCGCGAGCAGATAGTCCAGGTACGCCTGAGCCTGCTCAAGACTAGATACCCGGGCGACTCGCGCGACAAACACCGATTTCTTCTCCGTTACCACGTCCGAGAGGATCCAGTCCGGGGGGCTGTCTATGCCGAAGCTATCGCGGAGCGAGAGCGTCGCGATCTCCTCTGGTTTCAGATCTGAGGAAGTTGCCGGCTCGTCGCCGTGTGCTCCCCCGTTGTTTCCATCGTTGTTGCTGCTGCTGTTGCTGCCTCCGATATTCAACTCCTGGAAGGCCTCCACCGCCTCGTTGATAACGTCGAATAGACAGACCACACCAGGCTGGTAGCTTCGCCCAACGATATCTTCCAGCACGTCGACGGCTACTTTCCCCTCGCCGCGCGACGCGGTCGACGCCGTCCCCAGGATCCGAGGCGGGGTGTCGGGGTACGAGGGGTCGAAACCCAGAATAAAAGACAGGTGTGGGTGATTGGGGATTTGGAGCTTCACGGTCGTAGAGAGGGCGCTTGAATCCGGGGACCCAGAGCTGCCTAGGTCCAGCGTAGACGTAACCGTAGAGTTATTGGACCCGGGGGTGCTGGTGACGACCACGGTGTCGGGTTCGTAGATGGCATTGATGGCTTCGATTTCTTCGGCCAGGTCAGTGTTCTGTAGGGATTCGAGTTGGGAGGACATTGTCGCGCATTGAGGAGGTTGCGCAGTCCGCGACTGCGGGGGATTGGATTGGCGAAGTTGAGGGGTGAGGATTCATTCGGATTTCCCTCCCCGCTCATGTCATTTTCGGCTGTGCTGAGTCAGTCGCTCTATGGTTCAACTTCAATTTCCACTTGTTTTTTACAATGAATAGAGTGTTAGTCAATTGACGAGTCTTCATTACAATAGTGCTATGTACGCATTGAATAGGCTCTTCATTCTCGATATTTTCCCACAACCAAGGGAAATCCTGGTCTGGCAGCAATACTGATGGTAAATTCTCGGATATATATATTTGAATCGTTAGTGGTCATCAGTTCTAGCTCAACGAACAACTTCAAGATTAAAGCATCAAATAAATGATAATATTAGTGAAAAAAGGAAATGCCGCTACGCGAAAATAACAATCTAATTAACAACCCATACCCAGCATGTTGCTCACTCCCCCCACCCGCAAGGACTGAAGCATTTCTGATACATCACCATCTACGTCAATGCCATCCAGATCCTTCTTCTGCCAGAATGCGCGGAAACCATTCACCAGTCTCTCGGTGACTCTCTTGACATCGTCTCTAGGAACTGCCGTGAAACTCAATCGGAAGTAGGGATGCGATCGGTCCGCGATCTGCTGAGAGGGAGAAAACAAGCTGCCAGGGGCCAGCAGAGAGAGGTGTGGAGATTGCGTCAGGAACACCCAGAATGCTCGGGACAGTTTCTCGACGGGGTACTTCCCATGCAAGGGATGAGTCTCGAAGGACGCTTTGATCCACACGAACATGCCGCCCTCTGGCCAGACAAAATCGTACATCTGTACTTTGTCCACCACCTCCCAGGCGCTTTCGTCCGCGGCCTCTGCGTCATCACCTGCATCGATGATGTATTTGCCTTCTTCGAGAGTGCTGCACATGTCCTGCATGCGTTCTTCATAGCCTCCTCGCAGCCCTTCCAGCCATCGCACCCAGCCGTCCATTTTCCAGCCCTGATCGCCCTGCTTCTTGGTCGCAGCAGCGGCGTCGTCGGTCTGCTGTCCCAAAATGAGCTCGGCCACCATGGCCTGGACAAAGCCCGAGGGATGCTGCGTCGTTGTCTCCCCGATGCGAGCGATCCGCTCGATGATCGCCGGCTGCGCGGTGACCCATCCCAGACGACATCCGGGCGCGATGGTTTTGGAGAACGTGTCGAGGCGAACGACGCGCCCGTCCGTATCGATGGACAGATACGACGGGACCAGGGAGTCTAGGAATTTATATCCGGATGACCGGCCGTGGGCGTTGTAATTGCGCGTCGACGACGCGGTGTCGACGGACGTGCCGCGGTATTGGGCGGAGAGACTCTTCGCGGAGGGGTACTGCAGATTCCAGTAGGGATCATCCTCGACGATGATGATATCGTATTGCTGACAGAGAGCGTAGATTTCTTTTCGTCGTTCGACGGACAGAATGCCGCCCGTGGGATTCTGGCCGATGCTGTTGCCAAGAATATGCAGAACCGTTAGCTGTCGCCCGCCATGTGGCCGTCATTGACGACAAGGAACCGCGTCCCTTTCAAAGATTCCTCCACGCCATTGCAGCGCCACTTACGTGATGGTGTATAGGACATGCGGCCGGCGACCTTTCCGATTATCCCAGTTCCTGAGCACGTCCGCCAAACCCCCCTTGCCGTGCGCCAGCATCCCCTGGGCGTCGATCGCGACCGGCGCCACGTTGAGAGCACGGGGCTTGACGGTAGCCACGGCATTCATGTACACGAACTCCTCGCAGAGGATGCCCTCGCGATGGCGGATCCAGTCGCGATCTGGGTCCCAGATATTGGTGAAGGCCTCGATGACCTTGGAGAAGCCATCGGTCGCGCCGCAGGTCAGCAAGGTATCGGGACCGTTGGCGTAGGGCACGTTGGGATGCAGATGCTCGCGGGTGAATTGGCGGACGAATTCAGCCAGCGGAGGAAGACCCTCGATGGTTCCGTATTGCAGGGCCGTGGTGACATCGATCTTCTTTTGCAGATTGGCCGTTGAACTCTCTTTGGGGACCGTCACCCGAGCGGATGAGCGCGGGTCCCCTGAAGATTTCGTTTTCGCATCAGAATCCGAGGGTGCAAAGCGCTCTGGACGAGCGACGGACGCCTCGAGGGTGTCGTAGGGAAAGTAGGAGGCATTTGGAAGACCTGGAGATGGACAATGGGGGGAAACGATCAGCGAGGGCGACGGAGTGGTTCGGATGGCAGATAAGGTTCTATCCATCCATCACGAACCAGCGACCATTCCACTTACCACCGGCTAGGTTTGCAATGCCCGGGATCAAGAAGTATTTATACAGATCTTTGATTGAGCTGGCCTCGCGCCGTTTGGTGGCGTAGGAAAAGTGATGGGATAGATCCAACGGAGGAGCCATCGCGGACAACACGGATTCTTCTATGCAGGGCTACTCAATGGACGATGACGCAATCGCTGAGGTTCGACAGTCGATGGTTCATAAATAAACAGAAGGAAAGACAAATGGACGGGGTTTTACGGCAAGTTGGCCTTGATCCCAAGCATTATTAAGAATCCTACGAGACACGGAAAGGCAGGCATATAAGAAGGAAGCGCTATCAGACCAAAGCGATGTTGCTTGATAAGCCAACGTCGCCGGTGGGCGCTCCACATGGAATCCTGGTGGCCATCCTGACTGGTTGCGCCGGACGAAAGACGGGATTTGTGTCGACGATGGCGGATTTGATGTCTTATCGGACAAATCCGAGAGAAGCTGACTGGGGGGTTGCGGGGTTGGGAGAGATATGGGGACCGACAGTACGCAGTAGGCGGGAGTCGACGGGGGGAGACTGAGTGCCATGACTATGAGTCAACTAGTAGTCAACTAGGAGTTATTCGGATATTCCATTGGTAAGAAACACTCCATGGATCTCTTCGCTTCAAAGGAGACACCACGTGACCAAACAGGCACCGCTGACATAAGGGCTCCACCGCCACACTGTCAGCCACTCAGAGGCACCGCCACCGCGAGCTGGCGATCTTCCGTCGTTCTTCGGCGCTTCGCCTTCTCTTCCTTTCCCCTTCTTCATCTGCCTCTCGTCCGTTATTCTTATCGTATAGTCCCGTGCGCATAGGATTCAATCATTCTTTCTATCCTCGGGATATGTCCTTCCACTGGCTGTGAAGGACTGTCTATCTCTCTCGCCCTCCTCGATTCCTCTGGCTTGATTCATTGATTCCCGCCTGCGGTCTAGAACTCTAGCCTTGTTCTTCCTTGCCCACCGTTCGTCCCCCACTCCCGCCCGTTGCCTCTTTGGTTGCATTTGTCTTTTCGGGCTCGCCTTCATCGCGCCCTTCGTTGGTCCGATTTCATCCCCCAATTATCCTCTGATAGGTTTCCAGCATGCTCGGTGAAGGCCCGGAGGATGGTTCCCGCGTTTATGTTCCCCCGTTGTTAGACGACGACGACGATCATCCCGACGCTCCCGATATCCTGCAGCCTGAGGATGAGGAGTCCGGCGTCGCCTACCTCCCCGTCTGGTTACGGGAATCTTCCAAGTCCTTTCGCTGGAGCTGGGTTCCTCTGCCCATTCGAAAGGTGGCCTGGGCCACCGCGACCTGGGTGAAAGGCCCCGACCCGCCCCATGACCTCCTGCTGAAGCCTTTGTTTCCTCGTTTCCAAGAACTTCCGGTCCGGTACATGGAACGGTTTTTTCCCAAGCGCAAGCACAAGATCGCCCTGCTTTTCTTGCTATATTTTGTCTGGTTTCTGCCATGGACTATCGTCTTGTTGCATGCCCGTTCGGCGGGTTATATAGAAGGCTATGGACGTCCCCATACCCTCTCTTGTTCGACGAGTCTTTGGTAAGGACCCCCACCCTTGTCCTCGGGTCCGCCCGGTCGCTTTGTCTTCATGTCCATGACTCTAATCCACTATCACAGGGACTACGGAAATGAATGCGGACTGAATGGAAATGATTGCCGCCCTTTTTCGGCATCGACGATTCCATTCCGCTGTCCCGCGAACTGCCGGGACGCCAAGCTGGCGGAACCCCATACCGTCGGCAACCACACCTATAGTTACCGGGGTCTAGTTGTGGGAGGCCCGCAACCCGATTTCGACGAGACCCCGATCTACCGCGCCGACAGCTTTGTCTGCCAGGCTGCCATCCATGCCGGCGTCATCACCAATACTGTGGGAGGCTGCGGTGTCGTCCAGCTCGAGGGTGCTGCGCACTCATATCCTGCTTCGAAGCGCCACGGCATCCAGTCGGTCGGGTTTCCCTCGACCTTCCCCAAATCATTCAGCTTTGCTTCCCTGTCCTCTTCACAGGGGACATGTCCTAAAGATCCCCGGTGGCCTTTGCTCGGCATCACCATTGGGTCGCTGGTTGCCTTGTGGCTCTTTTGCACCTCTCCGCCCGTTTTATTCTTTAGCACGTTCGCCATGGTTTTCTGTCAAGTGGGACTGGTGTCCGACCCGCCTTCGTACCCCCAATTTGCCGACCTCGTCTCCAGTCTCCTTTCGCGACTGTTGCCGGCATCATTCGTGGCCTACGTTCTATTCAAATACTGCGCCCGTCCATTGCTCACTCCCCTTTCTGAACCCGTGTACCAGGTGACGAGGACGTTTCTCTATCTGCCCCCTGTGTTCATTGGCGCATTGAACAACTACACCTTTGCGAGGCTGATCCCTCTTGAACGCCTCACGCCTTATGACATCCAGAAACAACCGGGAGCGAAGCTGGCGCTGGCACTGGTGATTCCGACGGTGATCTGTATCATCCTCAGTCAAGCCTGGAAGATTCGCCAGGGTGGGTTGATGCCCCATTATCTGAAAATTTACTGCACCATGGGCTTGATCCTCCTGATCCTGCTCCCACTGCCTGGTCTGCGCCTGCGAATCCATCACTATATCCTCGCCATCCTTCTCATGCCGGGAACCGCCATCCCGACACGACCGTCATTGATCTACCAAGGCCTGCTTCTCGGGCTCTTCATCAACGGTGTCGCCCGGTGGGGATTCGCCTCGATCATCGAAACTCCCGCTGCCTTGGGCGAACAGCCCGGTGGATCCCACGGCTGGTGGGGAGGCACCTACCCCAACATCTCCAACAAAACGGTGGAGATTTCCCTGCCTGACCGAGATTCTGACGAAGCCTACCACGGCAATGGCAACATCACCTTCTTCCTGTGGGAGCGACAACGCATGGCTGATCTCGGCGTGGACGGCGTCTCCGTCCTAGTCAACGACGTGGAGCGCTGGCGCGGATACCTGGACGAGGACAAATACGGCGAATTCACCTGGCACCGACACGGCCATAACGGTCTCGAACTCCGCCACAGCCCCATGATCGAGAGCGACGACGAACCCGACATGATAGACTCGATATCCATAGAAGCAGAGAGTCAAACCACAGAGGACAAGAAACCCGAAGACCTCTTTTTCCGATTTGCCTTCTTAAGGGGCGCCGATGCGGGTATATACAGCGGAGCCGGAGTTTGGCTAGAAGAGGGAGAGTGGATTTCTCCTCCCCCACCGAAGAATTAGACTTGCTTTTTTGACTTATCTTATACCTGGTTTCTTGGCTTATGTTTGCTTTGGGTGTCAACTTTTGTGTCTATCTTTATATCCTCTTTCGGGTCCGGTTCCTTGGATCTACCTCTACGCTGGAGGGTTGAGATCAGCATCAAGACGAACATCTTTGGAAAGACAGACAGACAAACAGCAAATCACACCGTGCATTGAAACACACTTTACCTCTGATGGATTCGGTGCTGGTACATATCGGTCTGATTTGATGGGCACAGGCGTTCCCCGGTTGGGTATGATTGAATTGAATGGCTTGGTACCTACCTAGAGGGCGTTCGTTTCGGTGTGGACAGCCGACTTTCTTTCTTTGCTTTCGTTGATCTTCGACGATAACGATATCACGATACTTGATCTATCTCTATCTTTACAAACATATTCCTATACACATACATACTAGAGACATACTTGTTTTAAAGGAATGATCTATGGATCATATTATAAAGGTAGTACTGAAGCGAAATAACCCGGCAATTTAATCGAGAGCATCGGATTTCTGTCGGTCCTAGACAAATATCGTTCGATCCCAGCCGCAGAAAGCCTTTCAAGTTTGATTTCACTTCATCGAAAGAACCGTTGCTTAGGTTAGCTGCTCTGCTCGTCATCCAAATTCAAATCCAAATGCAAACGCAAATCCAAACCCACCGCTAACTAAACCAAAGCCACCAAATAACCAAAGATCAAAAATTCAAAATCGACCCCAAAACCACTCAATAAATTCCATCCATCCTTCTCCGTTTCTGACCTCGCATAGCCTCATCCTCGTTTCCAAGATCACAATCGAAATCACCAGTCTGAAAGTCACGAATCAGATCCAATATGACCAGGCCAAGTTTCCTCGCAATCGAGGGTGGGAACGCCCGCGTCACATCATCGTATTGCTGCTGGGTGGAACCCAGGAAGACGAAATCGTCGCTGAAGCCTTGAATACGGGCGAGTTCGCGGACGGTGAGTCCGTCCTTGCGGTCTGTTTCGTTCAATTATTGATTAGTTTGGGCTGAGATTCAATTGATTGTGTTGTAGATAAGTAGTAGGGAAGCGGGTGGGTGGTGGATAGGATAGGAAGAATGGGATAGGATAGAATAGAACGAACCTGGGTGACGAATCCGAGTGATATCGGTCATGCTCACTAGAGGACCTAGATCCAATACATGGGGACCTGGCAGTGCAATCCCTGTCTGATGGTTGTAGACGTTTGTGTTGGCCGTGGGGTGCTTGCAGACGAGGGAGCCTGCCGCGGTAGGGTCAGTTGCTCTGGGGTTGCAGAACGCGAGGTCACGGATCCGGTCAAAGGCGGATTCGCTCTCAGTTTCAACTTCAGCCTTCGAATCAAAAAGCCTGGTCCATTGAACGGGTGAGGAGACTGAAGAAGCGAGAAGAATGATGATCGTGTCATCGCGTGGGATGCCGTGGGACGCAAGTGAGACCTTCTTAAGGTGAATACAATATCTGTCTGCCAGCAGGTCGTAGCTTCCTTGGAATAAGCGATCGAATGTATCTTTATGGAGGACCCAGGGCGGGAAGATGAGGACTAGGAAGTCCAGTTTGAGCTGCAGCGTGAGAATATCACGAAGGTACTCCAGAAATTCGAGCTCTTTTTTCATCTGCTCTCTTCCGTAGGCTATGCAAAGGGTTGCAATGCACGGTGTGCCCTGCGGGGTCTGTTGAAGAGGATTCAATCTGTTTGACTTGATATCCGATATAACACCGTTTAATGTACCGTCCAGGATGATCGCAGAGCCATGTGCGGCCTTGATACATTGTCAGAATAGCCAGCAGGGGGAAAAGAGAAAACAAACCTTCCAGGTTAGATGAGAGGCGGGATTGAACCCTATACCTGCGTATATTTCATATCCACATTGTCGGAAGCCTTCCGCCAGACCGATGAAACCAGGCGATAAGTCCAGAATGACAGGGCTTGCCTTCGAATTGAATCGTGGTTTGACCCATCTTTTCGAACGTGGAAGTAGATGGGATGCAATTGGGGTGAAGCAGGCGGTATCGTCAGGCCCATCACAACGATGCGCAAAACGACAAAAAAGGCCTGGCTGACTTAGATCTTCACTCTGCGAAAGCTCCGTTCTTGTATACTGTAGGGTATCAAGCAGCTCGGAAGCAATAGGATAGACGGCATTTATGCATCGAATGGGGATTCGACTGGCGTCATACCAGCTCCCCATAGAGTTGAACTCTTTGAAGTGTAGCATCAACTCACAATCTTTCATTGGAGGCGGCCACGCCCTTTGGTCAGAGTCTCCTTTCCCCCGCTGAAAAATTGGATTCCGCCCCGAAACAGAATAGAGAGTAGCTAGCAGTGTTCCATCATCTTCTTTGTCAGTCTTGATTGCTGGATGAATGCCATGCGTATATACGATGAAACCTGTCTGCTTTCCCAAAGAGTTTGGAAGCCTCATGGTCACCATGGCATAGTCGTCTTTTTCGAATCTCCAACTGAGCCGGCGGCTCTCATACATGGAGAGCAATCGCGCTTGCTGTGCCTGAGCGAGTGTGAGCCAGAGAATCCAGTCCCAGAGACAAGACCACTTACGGTTCCAGACTCATAAGAAGGAGTCAAGCTACTGAACACTTGAGGAAACGTCTCCTTTTCCCACTGTTTCCAGATATTCTCATCAAATTCAACACCGGATTTACCAGCTTGCTCGTCGATATCCATACCGCCATTCTCATCGGCTGTAGAATTTTTGGAGGGAGATTCAGGCGATTGAGGGGGTTCAGAGGCCTTGGGAGCTGGTAATTCATTTGGCTTAATAGGATCTGGAGGTAAACCGTAGAATGCATCACTATCGTTCCAAGCAACCATTGGGAAGTAAGCTCTGGATGAATCGAGGTTGTCAAAAATCGCAATAAATTTGCTCTGTGTCACAATCTGTTGAACACACGTGCACAGCGTATTATCACCCATATTGACTGGAGGAAGTAGTAAGCAAGCAGCTCGGTAATGATTGAATGGAAGCTCACCTTCATCATGCAAAGCCATATGCGCATTGTCTGCACACTGCTCATCATGGAGAACAACGTGGTATTTCAAACAACCTTCAAGCTGTTTCAACACCTGTTGTGACATACCATTTGTCCAGGAAACCACTAGCTGCTTTGCAGCCAGTCCAGGTTTGACTGTAATGTCGCGAGGCATCTTGAGGGCTTTCTCCATGGCAACCTGATATCCATTTTTCCACTTCCTCAAGGGGCTTGGGTCTGTGCGGTCCAAGCTCACTTCTCTAACCAATATTTCATAGAGTGATGCAAATATGTGGTCGCAAGAGAAGGATGCCGCTCCGCTGTCTGAATTGTTTTGGTACACCACGCAAGGGTACTCGGCATGGATGGCATGGAAATATAGCCATTTGTCCCGTATTTTCAGCACATTAGATTCAGGATCGAAGTGTGCTTGAATGCTATCATCCACGTAATTCACAAACACAATCTTGGTATCCTTGGTTCTCTCACTCAACATCAAAATTGATTCGACGATCATTCTTTGCAAAGTTCTCGAGAAGGCAGAGTTGGGAAGAGTTGTTTCTTTCGCCTTCCTGAACTGTTCAATTTGCTCCTCTCTCGGGGTGCGTATCAAACTCGCATTTCGAAGGGCATTCCATAAAACGCCGGGTATGAGAGCGGGAACTTTCCCCAGGTAGTCTTTGATGATGTAGTTTTCCTATCCCCTCGTAAGTAGCTGGTCAAGGAAGGTCCCGTTTGACTTACATTAGTAGCCTCTTCGCATGAATAGTAAAACAACCCGTCCTTAGCTTCCGAGGAAAGGTAATTCCATATCTTTTGCGCTGTAAATTTGCCGAGGAATTTGTCCGCCTCCCTGACATCCAAAGGCCTCTGCGGGTCACGAAGCATATCTATGTACAATGGAAGCAATTCGGCTGATCGTGTCTGAATAGCTGCTTCCCACAACTGACAGAGAAGCTTGGGCTGCTGGCTAGCATCGACCAGATAGGATGGGCCCCGGCTAATCTCTGCATGATGGAAGTTATAGCCATAAAGCAAGCCTTTCTTGTGTTGACATAGCAGACCCTTGACGTAGATACGGGAAGAATAGTCCACATCAAGAATGAGGTCACCGTGTTGAGTTTTGACGAGCTTTTTCGGCTTCGAAAATTCTCTGATTCCAAGTGCAATACCTAGCCAGCGGCGAAACCCATCTTGCTGTAACTTGTTTCCTGTTTCAATGATTATAGCCACATCCTTTGATATGCGGTTTGCTAGATTGGGCATGGCTTCGGTGTCGTTATCTGCCGAAATTTCTTTTTTCCTCGATGGATTAATGGTGCAAAGATATTGGGAGTTCGACGTCCCACAAGAGCTGAAGTTCCAAGAGTGACTGCTCGCTTCGATGCGTATCTTGTAGCCTGCAAGCATCATGACCACAATGGCAAGTTTGAGGCCCTCGCCATAGCGCCCAACTAGAGGATCCTTGCCATGTCCCCACTGGAGATGTCTTGGTTGTAGTTTCGCATTGGCATTCGCAATGATAAGAGTTCCGGACTTCTTCGAGAATTGTATGAAACCCATATATTTTGGAGTGGGTTTGAAAACCACCTGGGGCTCAGGGGTTGGCCAAACCAGCTTGATTTTGGTGGTATGGGTACTCTCATGATACACTGGGTCGAATGATTCAACCGATGGAAAAGACTCGGCAATGGCAGTTCTCCTGCGTAATCATTAGTTGGCATTTATTCCAATGTGAAACGACGTTGAAGCCTACCAGTTCTGATAAAGTTGACGAAACGCATCTTCAGTACTCAAGCCTTTCACATAATCATTGGAAATGTTCAACTGGTGTGTAAGCTTTTTTGAACCAAATGAACGAAGCTCATCATCACTGCCCTCTTCATTTGAAACGCTGGACGGCCTGTTTTCGGGACTCTGGTTATCTAGGGTTGGTCCTGCGCGTGCAGATGACGCAGGTGTTGCGGCGGACATGACTGTAACAGGCAACAGCAAACAAGTAGCTGAGCAAGCCTTGAAACCAAGTAGGGGATCCTATTATCTGGAGTAGAAGAGGTAGAGGAGGTAGAGGAGGAGTTTGGGAGATGTGGGATGTAGGATGTGAGAGGTGGGGTGAGTGTAGGGAACGTGAGCTGGGCTTAGACCGTGGTGAGACAGGAAAGAACAGGATACGGAAAGCAGATGACAACTGAGTCAGACCCTAGAAGTGCTCAATCGTAAAGAGTTTCATGTCCGCCTGAAATTGAATGGCGAAGCAGAAGGGAATATGGATTAGCGAGGTAAGTGTGAAAGGAACGAGCAAGGTGAGTCTGACTATCAGGAAGTGAGAACACTTTGATGACAGGAGTGCGCAGTTGTAAAGACTCCGGTCGTCAACAGAGATGAGAGACGGAATGCATGGAAGAATTAGGCAACTGAGAAGAATGAGTAGATTGAATGTGTGTATCAAGACCCGGGAACAACCTAATGTCGGGAGTCCTCAGTTGTAAGGATCATGATCGTCCTAGAGATAAGATGCAAGATGAGATGAGAGATGGAATGCAAGTGTCGAAGAGCGAGGTAAGCAAGAAAGGATTTAAGTACGAACGAGGACTAGGAACCAACAGGCTCTAGACCAGCTATAGCCAAGCTTTGAGTGGTAGAGGTAGAGCGGTAGAGGGCGAGAGGTAGACGTATATCAATGAAGAAGTAGGATAGGAGAACTACGAGACCAGGGTGGAGCACAGTAGGAGAAACGATGAAAGATATCTATAAATTGACCAAAGTCGTAAAATCATGTCACAGACACCAAAGGCACTAAATGTGGCAAATCACAGGACTGTAAAGGTAAGCATGATCGGACTGGATTTCTCCAGCACGAATTCATTTGCTATGTCTAACAGGATCCGTCTTGATTCTCGTCGAGAGAAGAACAAGACTAATGTCATAGGCTTCACTTGTTCCCTCAAGGACAAGAAGCAGACCAAGAGTAGCATGTACATCCAAATAAAAGGGAAAAGACATTGACAGGTGAAGGTGAAGAATCCAAAAAAGATGAGAAAAATATCCTGAGAATAGAAACCAAGAGCCAAGTCTGTATAGAAGCTCGAGAAGCACCAGAATAGAAAAGAGAAAAGAAGAATTTAAATGTGCTGGAGCGATAGGAGCTTATAGATGCTGGTCGCCTTTAGCTGGGACAAGCTTAGTGAGCATGGCGACCATGGCGGTGACGCTTGTGCACATGGGCATGTCCATCCCGCTTCGCAGGTGGCGCAGTCGGCGTAGAAACGATAGTAGAGACAACATCGGTGGTGGTCGATGTGGCGGTAGAAAGGGTCTCCACTGGGCCGGCTTCGGTTTGGGTAGGGTTACCCTGTGCGTCGACATGAATGGTGATTTCCTTCTCGATGTAGACGACTTCTTCAACAACGGTGCCATCCAGGTAGGATATGCTGGGCTTGGCGGTCCAGGTGGGTTGAGTGGTCGAGGTCGAGGTCGGTTGGGGAGCCTTGGTCGTCTCCGCGTTTCCACCCAGCGAGAGGGAGACGCCGAGGGAAGCAGAAACCTCGGCGCTTTGAGTGGCGGAGGCGTGTCCAGAGACGTAGGAGACGGGGCTAGCGTAGGCAGGTCCATACTGGACAGCGAGGCCGTCAGGGAGACTGCCCTTGTACTCGTAGACATCCTCATCCTTCAGCACGTCGGGAACCTCAAATTTACACTTCTGCTGGTCGCTCTCACTCTGGATGTCGAAGACATCGCAATCGGTGATCTGGCCAGAGGGGTTGGTGCACCGTTTCACGGCCTGCTCGAGGATACCGGAGTCCCAGCCATGAATGAAATCGGCGTGATATCCGAAGCCGGTCGGATCACCGTTGGCGAGAACGAATTTACCTTGCTTGTCCTTGAAGGCATAGGTGTTCCAGATGGTCTCGTAGAAGAGAGAAATGACGCGGGTCTCGTAGCCCTCGGGGCAGGTTCCATCCATAACCAGCGACGGATAGGCGACATGCGACTGGTGGTCATCGGAATCGCTGTCCTTTCCGTTCCAGCACGACGGGAACATGATTTCGAAGCGAACACCATCGGTACAGTGCTCATCAAGGTAAGACTTGTCGGGAAGATAGTGGCGGCCGAGCGACGGCTCCGCATCCTTGTTGTAGTTCAGGCAGTTGAACCCAAGAGCCTTCTGGCGGAGGGACTTCTGGGAAGCCTGCTTGCCGGTCCATTCGGACTTCGGACGGTCGGGGATCGGCCAAGGGAAGTTGCGCAGGAAGGGATCACCGGCAAGCATGCGAAATCCTTCGGGAAATGCGGCCACTTTCTCGCCATAAAGCAGGTAGTAACTGGTCCATTGCAGGGTTTGGTTAGCCATGTCGAACCGGCTTGAAGGGCTTAAGACGTCGACTCACGCAAGCATGCCTCCCACTTGCTCCACAATCTCGGTATCACCATTCTCGTGCATGAAGTACAGCGCGGGGGCCCAGTATGCCGACTTGTCCTGGGTGACTGCGCAAGAGGTGCACTCCGATTCTTTGAGGCTCGCTTCGTCGACGGTCATCGCAAAGGCTATCGAGATGATGTTTAGAAATGGACGCTCGATAAACACGCGCAGGGTCACTAACAGCTTGCACCATGGATCGCATGGACGTGGTTGGATGGTTTTCCGGGGTCCATCAATGGATCCATTCGAGCCAGACCACTTCGTCCACGGCAGGGCAGTCGCCAGAAGGCATCAGCGACGCCGGAGAAGGCGGCCAAGCAGGTCACCAGACCGACGTCAAGTCGCATCGTTCGAGTCATGGTGTTGGAGGCAAGATATCAACGGTAAATGAGCGGCGGGGTTGAAGTTCCAGAAGGAGCGGGATGGGCTGTCGCAAAGGGCGAGTCCGTCAACTACAGCGTCCCCAAGAGCGATAAGTAAGAATTGCGCAAAACGCCACAAATTCAAGCAAAAGCAAGTGTACAGAATGGAGGGGAGACTCGTGAAAGATGTGGGGGTGTTTGGCGCTACTACGCAGTAGTATGAAGGTGCAATGGCGGGGATTGGGATAGTATAAGACCACAACATCGACAGTGTCAATAAATAAAGAATGACAAAGCAAGATTGGAGGCGCGCCAGAAGCAAGCCTCATGCATGAGGGAGAGACAGGCATTCAGGAGTTCGATCTCTTGAGATCCTGCATATTTCGCGCTTGTGGCTGACTTTTGGGGAGGCAAGGGATGGGGGATTCCCTTGCATTATCATTCTGGAATTGCCACTCAAATTCACACGAGGGCGTTCTAGGCACAGGGAAAACATGGAGGTACCAAGGCATACTGGAGACAGATATTTGTGGAACATATGAGAACTAAACATACCTTTCTCAAATGATTTAAGATTGTCGTGGTAGTTTCCGCCGATCAATGACTTCGATCGCTTGTTGAGAATCCAGGGGGGATTTGGCTCGGACTATTTCCTCGTTAGACGAACCACTCCTTCGCCAGATCTGTCCGAGGGCGAGAGATGGAGGGACAGGAGAGACAATACATACCTTGTAGCAATGAGCGAAACTTTGACCAAAAAAAACAAGTTGTGTGTAAACGAGAGACTGAAGGAACGGCAGAGGGGCAAAAGGAGAGGAACGGGGAAAAACGAAAGGCAGCAGGAGAATGGAGCGGAATCAAATCCCCTAATATAAAAAATGCAAAAGAGTGGAAAGGACGTCAACGTCGCCTAAAAGGGTGTGGAATGGGAGAAGGAGAGGAGGAGAGGGAGAAAGGGACGGTAGACAAGCGATATTAAGGAAAGAGGAGCCAAGTCGCCTCTCAAGATGGTCTGTTCACCCAGGAATGAGAACAGCAGCCGCCAAAGAATGGCCTAGTGACCAATGACAATTAACTGCGTCATTGCTCTCCCTCCTTTTTTGCCCCCTTTCCTTTGTCTTTTTGCCCATAATTATTCTGCCTCGCTCCGGGGCCTTTTGCTCCTCTCGCCTCCTACGGAACTCCCAGAAACCAACAGGATAGACCCGAACCTAATTCGCTCCGATGGAGAAGGTCTTTCTTGTCGTTGTTCTTGTCGAACCTTGCAAGACGGGATCGGTTCCCCATCGATTTAATTAATTTAACGATGGGGACGGAGCGTTCGATAGCATCTCGCCATTGCTGCTACACAGGATTCCGTATTCCGTGGGTTCTACTCCGTTCGCCATGGCTGATGGAGTCCCGGTTGGCGGGCGCCACTAAAACCATATGCGCGGGGGTTGGTTTGCGATCACTTGTCTCCCTATCAAATGGCCTGAATAATCCCTGTAAGATCGTGGGATAATTAACAGGAAACACTAACGGTTTTCTCGGAGATCTCGTGCGACGGCGAAGGAGTTATCCAGTGAATGTCCTCATTTCCCAAGACCGGCCAAGGGATGCTGCGCCTTCGGCGGTGTTATGGGGCCCTCCACTCTGTCCCATTCTTTTTATATTACTGATCTCCAGGGGGGTGTCCGTACGGAGTAAAAAGGCAGTGGTTCGTCAGGAGTCCTCCCGAACGCAAACACTCGGGGCATCATGTCCGGGACATCCATCCTATAGGGGAGCCGGATTCCCAAAGTTCGACCCGACTGAGGTGGGAAAATTGAGACAGGAGATCAAATCATCGGCCTCTGTAGGGCGGACTTGAGTCAGACTGGGGGGACAGGGGAAAACAAAAATAACCCCGGCAAGAAATGCGACCAAAACATCGGTTGTTCCTGACTAGTGGCTCGCACTAACAGAGTCTGTCCAATGTCTGACGGTTTTAGCGCGTGTTGCTCGGTCGCAAAAGCGTGGAACGCAGACTGAAACGGTGACATTATGCAGATTGCTGCCCTCCTGGAGTTACGAATCGGCCAATCAGTGGACACAGGGGAGATCGTCACAAGGGAGGTGAAGGTAATCCTGCCCCAAAGGCCTAAGAAGGCTGGGACAAGTCATCGAATAACCAGTCTTTTCCATCCGGTTTTGTTGCCGGAAAAGGCTCCGACAAGGCCCCTCGATTTCTCTAGCATCGACCTAGTCTTTTAGTTCTCCGAAGCGATCACCAAAAAGCAGACTGGTGTTTCAGAATTGCCGGTCGAACTGTGGACCTCCAGCCACCGTAGACTCTTTGCCAAGGCTTCATCGTGACCAGCACGGTGGTTAACAGGATTAAAATAGGAGGATCGAGCAGTGTTTGGAGATTCAAGATGCACCAACGGATCTGCCCGATAGATTTGGCTCCAATGCTGGAGGAAGGCGGGATGAAACAGAGGGTGTAGGGAGATTGGAGAGTTGGGGAGTCGCGACGGAGACCGTAAATTAAGGCGGGACACATGACGTTGTTGGCCTGGGGCTGCCCTCCATTGGACGCCGACAGAGAAGGCTTCATTTCACTCAGTCCTACGCCGCAAATGCCAGGTGAAAATTCTGCTCATCTCTTTCCGCCCTATGAAATGTGACACAATTCTTTCTTATCGTGTTCAATACGCTGACACAGTCAGATTGGGGGTTTGATTATGGCCCCTCATTAAGACACTAAGAGGCCGTTTGCTTACTGGTGCAGTGGTACTACCACATGAATCACGGGAGAATCAGCCTGGTTGATGGGGCCATGGCAATAAACACATATTAAGATTGTTCTATGTTGCATATCCCTGCAAGCTGTGTAGCATTCTAAAATTGCTGCGATATTGGTGCAGAACCCAGAACACCGTACTCCGTAGGGTCCGCTAAAAGGGGCCTCACCCCTAAGGAACTATATATATCCCCAAGACCGGGCGGCCCCTGATTCCGCAGGCAGACTCAACAAGCCAGCAAAAACCTCGAGAGACAAACCAGATGAGACAAATATAGATAGGTTATCTGCAGGCTGTAAATATAGGAGTAGCGTTAAAAAAAGACAAAAATATTCTAGGTCTTGCATGGAAGGTGGCAGCTCAAATATTGAGTTCTAGAACCTATAGAATTCTACTGCGTATAAACATTCTAGCTGCCATTCTAAATCAGATCCCAATCTCTCTTGACTTGTTTTTTTTCACTAAAAAACAAGTTTGTTAAGCCATCCAGCCAGAACATTATGTATCTCATAATTTTTCTAAAAACAGGTCAGGTTTAATTCCACCTTCTAAGGTTGTTCTAGTTCACTTTTCGCCGAGAGCTATAAAAATCCTCATAGCAAGCCACATTGCATAGGGACTCACTGCCTCGACGCCTATAGACATTTTTGTCTCTTCATATCAACTGAGACACAGCTCATACCAGGAAGAAAGAGAGATAATAATCGAAATTCCTCGATTCGCGAGGAAACACCGTCTATAATAGACAGGCAATAAATTATATTTGACCACTAACAGGTAAATCGACAGCCCTTGCTCACATGTTATCCCTCTATACTCTTCTCATATACCAAATCATCTTCAACTGAGACGGTATGAGGTTTATACCATATACTATTCAAAAACTGCAAGTCTCTCTCTATCCCTTTACCCAAAAAAATTGTCGCAGCCTCAGTATGACAAGTAACCCATCCAGTCACCACCTACTGAAGTACACCCGACTGCCTACCTACTTACCTACTTACCTACACAGCTGACATGAGAATGAGTATTGTAATCGAAACAAAATCCTCAAGCTTCAAAGCCCCCAAACATGAAGACAACTTCACACAGCAGACATCGATTGAGCTCCTAGCATATTCACACACCCAGACAGAATGTCACCCATGGTAGAATCCAATATTCAAAAAAAGATCTGCCCCGGTGCATCAAAACAAGAAATAAACAGACTAAACAAAAAAACATAGACCCTAGCCTAAATCTCACCCATCTAGAATTGAAAGAAAAAGCAGCACCACCAAATCCCAGAACAACCACAGAAGTAAGACCAACACACTATTTTTATACACGCCCCTACCTGCGTAAAAAGAGAATAGAAGAACAGTAAGCGCACGCCGTCCTCCGAACCAAAGCACAGACAACCAGCCTCATTTCCCTATCAACGCACCACTTCGCCTCGGAAAAGTCATGTGTACCTATCCGTACTACTGACTAACTAATCAGTATTGGTCCCCGGACAAAAAACAGGATATTCAAACTAGAAACGGAATGAAAGTCCCTGGACATTGCCACAATACGAGGTTGATCGTCGCAGTAGATACGTAGCGTCGTGGTATACCTGCTCAAGAGGAGGGGTTTATGCATAGTCTTTCGATCTGATCTATGCTCGGTTCATCATTGAGAGGCACGAGGACTATGGTGCTGTCATATATCATCTCGGATGCTTTTATATCTCATCATAATATTCACGTGCGTGTGTTCAGACTGCACCTAACTGCTGACTTGAAGTTAATTGGAATATAACACTTCCTACTGTGCTGACCAGAAGACGGATGAAGCGATAATAATCATAGCACACCGAACTACGTATCTCTCTGTACGAGGTAGATTACTGATTATTTCATATAGATAGCAGCCAATTGTCTGTCTTTAGCCACTAGAAACGATAATACCGAACCAACCACAGGAGAATATACTAAGAGAAATGGATAAAAAATCTAGACACAGCTATACCAAACATAGGGATAGCACTTTATCAACCCTCAACCCAGGACACAAGACCATATAGACGGAATGAACCTCTTAAGACCGCAGCCACCGAGACCTAGTCACTGAAGATAGAGATAACCCCAGATAAACAACCCAACTAGACGACGACAGGAAGAATAAACTCGGAGATTCCCCGCAAGCAGACACAGCTAGTCCCATGGATTGCATGACGCATCCCTAGACCAACAGACCTGCCTTGTATGG